ACCATTACGTACTTTATCGTGAATTTTGTTTCGCTTAATGCGTGGTTGTTGATTTCTGCTTGATCGTGTGGGTGATTAAGCAGTCTCTGTGATTACACCTCCAGTGTGACTTTCCCTTTTTAAGACTTAAGTCATTACTTCGTTGTATTTCGTTCGTACTTGAGGAGTCATACCTCCTGTACATATATATATTTTTTTAAAGTTAATGTTAATGTTTCCTATCGTCCCTGCTTGAGGATCCGTACCTCCGGGGATAAAAGATCGTTATCAGGATCTTTTTACATATTTTGTTTGTTATGTTTCTGTTGATTTCTGCCTGACCTTGTGGGTGATCAGACAGACTTTTGTTGCTCCGTATCTCCTGATAACGAGCCCTTAGTATCACATGATACTTGATTTTTGTTGTTGTTGTCGTTTGTTGTTTCGGCTGATTCCTGTCTGACCTTGTGGGTGTTCAGGCAGTCTTCGTGAATAGTCCCTTCCTTGACTTTTTCAGCCTTCTTATTAATCTATTTCTTAATTCTTTTGCACACAAGTACTCTTACTAGGTATCCGTCAGCATTAGCTTTGGTTTACAGTTAACATCCATTTGGGTTGGATGTTAACAATTTAACGTAATTTAGGGACTTGGATGTTTTTATGCTGACCCCCTAATAACAGTACTTCTGGAGTTGGGACGCCAACTTAGGGAAGACATTTTTTATATCGTGGTAAGTTTATCTGGTGTTGATTTCTCGTGCATCACCGCCGCTGTGATAAATTGGTGATGCACACACCTTTGTCTACTTCTCATGACTGAAAAATGCCTGTAATTCCCTAGTGAGTGTAACTTGCTCTCTAAATAAACATCGTACCATCTTAGAGCTTTTACTCAACTCCAGTCAGAATAATTTATACCACCACTAAAGTTCTGGTTCTGACCAAGGTTAGATGCCTAAATCTTTCTCGGACTCGGGTCTCCTAAACAGCACATCGCTGGTTGCTCTGACATCACGCAACCCTTGAAAGGCTGTAAAAAGGCTAGATAAATCAGAGAATATTAAGCTGATATCAAAAGAACAGATTCATTTAGCTATACCTGTGTTCCCGCTCCCAGCGGGCGGATGCTCAAACCGAAGGGAAGAAGAAGAATCCTATGATCTTGCTTTTTTCTTCTAAACACGTCCACGCAGACGCTCAGCCTACGCTATCTCCCTTTTCACATCTACACACTTACACATCCAACATTCAGCACACACATTCTGTACTTTCTTTCCACCCTTCTCTGATACAACACCCACACCCACTTACACGACATACACGGTTCCCGAACCTACTAATCGGGTGGTGGCAGCGTGCCGTAGGCCTGGAACCTTACATCTGTTCACTGCAGACGAATCTTTCCTTGAGCAAAGAACTCAATATTCTCGGTTGAGCCAGGACTCAACCAGACACTTAAAGTCTACTGGGTCTACGCCCCGCTACAACTGTCTTTTTGGTAGGCAGCGGTGGGAAACAGTCTTTCTATAAAGTGTCTGGTCAAGCCTTTGTGCAAGTCTATCGCACGCCAAGTAACGGGTTGTAGAGCAAGTGCTGGGACGCAGAATGCCTCGCACACGCAATACCGTCCAAGGAGAACCCACTAATGAGTCCTCGGGATCCTCTGCAAACACCCTTCTTGAGGGCCCCGAGTTTCCTCGAGATCACGCTCAATCTTTGATTTCGGGGCAAAGGCTAGAACCCCGTGACCACCTCTCGCTCTCGATGTATGAGGAGCTGGTTGATAAATTCGAACGGCTGAATTCTCGGTTCAGTGCCTTGGAAGGCAGTACGCCAATATCGTGCGATTACTGGAGCCCAGGGCATCTGAACCACACATTCATTCACCAGCTGCGGCCTCTGCATCGCAGGTAGAAGCGGGGGTGCATGCGGTCACGACTGACCACTCGTCTCAGCGAGCGCCCGTCAATCCGCGTCCCCTAGATCAGGGTATAACCCTGCGTGACCCGATTCCGCCTTACCGGGCAGAAGTTCCAGCTAGCCAGCCTCTTCGGAGGAATCAGGAGTTGGAAACCTGGTTGCGGCACGTCGAGCAAGCCCATCCTTATGGGACGGATGAGGCTCTGATCCGTGCCGCCCGTGGTAGCTGTAGGGGGACTGCGGATATAGTCATTAACTCCCCAGTTTTTGACGGCATTGGGACCTGGGACGAGTTTAAGGAAACCCTTCGGCAACGTCTACGGGGGACGTGCTCGTCGATGGAGTACCTTCGGCATTTGGGGTCGTACGTACTCGGCGACACTTCCCCTAGGGACTTCTATCTCGCGGTCGAGACCATGGATATAAATGCGCGTCCGGTCTTCTAAACCTCGCTCTTCTACTCCTCGCGAGGGTCGATCTCCGGCAGCTTCCCCTCCGGTTGATCCCCTAGCAGAGTTACCCGTACGCACTCGAACCCCGACGCTGGTGTCCCTACCATCAGGTGACTACGCATGACGCCTCCGAGTGTCGTGCGGTGCGAGAGGGTAATCAGTGCACCCGGTGTGGCCGCCGAGGGCATGTGGCTGAGCGGTGCTTTTTTCGGGCAGAACAACGTAGGGCACCGCCCGACAGAACACAACCGCAACCACAACGAGCCACTGCCAGGGACAATGATGATGGCGGGCGCCGAGGGGAGCGACAGTTCCACGGAACCAGAGCTTCCCGAGGCACAGATTCAGGCGGGGCGGCCGCTGTTGAATTGTGTGGTTGCTGGGACTAAGGTCTTAGCCTTTCTTGACTCGGGAAGTGAGGCAACGGTGGTGAAGGAGTCTTGTTTCAGGAGGATTTCCAACACCCCGCTCTCACCGCACCCACGCGGCCTTAGGGGGCATCTGGGGCCGCGTTGGACATCAAGGGCAGGGCAACCCTTGAGTTTAAGTTTTCCCGAGCCTGTAAATGCCGGCATTCGGTGTTCGTGGTGGACGATGACACTAGGTTTCCAGCAGAGGTGCTGATAGGCGTGGACCTGCTGCGGAGGTTCAATTTTAAGTTGAACCTCTCCCCTGTTTCAGGGGCCAGCTCTGCTAGCTTTAATGGAGTCCAACTCGGGGTTTCGTTCTCGGGTGCCGGGTCCCTCGGCATCCTGACATACCACGAACCGGAGGCCGTGCTACGTTGCTGTAGTGCGAGCGGCGGAGACCGGGAAGGTGCGATGAGATGCGCGCGAGAGTCACCTGTCCCCCTCGGGCGGGGCGATTCGTGCGATGCCTCGTGAACGGCTTGAAGGGCGGACTGGCTTGTGTTGAGAGCGACACAGCCAAGGTCCTGGTACCTCGCTCGTTGGTGGACCTCTCCCAACCGGAGGTTGACGTTTGGGTCGTCAACGATCAGACAGTTCCGGTTGAGATCGAGCAAGGATTCGTCCTCTGCTATGCGGCGATCGTGGAGGTTTCACTTAATCGTCTCGAATACGACGCGGAATCCATGGACCAGGATTCCGGCGTCAACCCGGAAGATGTAGGCTCATCCTCCGGGATAGTCGAGGAGCTTTAGGCATGGCTTCTTCGACTCCCATCGATGATGGAAGCGAACCGGATAGTCTGATGGCGGACTTCGAGGACCGGTTTGATTTTGCACACGGACTTAATGACTTTGGCTATAACACGGACGAGTTTGAGGTTTTCCCGGTATGTTCTTTCGAGAACGAGGAACTCCCCTCATCAGCAGGGGCAGTTAGTGTTCCCCGGGTGGATCTTGCTCACCTGTCGTCAGTCCAACGTGAACAGCTTGTCCAGGTACTTGATCGTTACCCAGATCTGTTCAACGAAGGGCTGCCTCCGGGTGTGGTGCCACACATGAAGCATAAAATCAAAACCACGGACGACCAACCCGTCCGTGTGAAACAGTGGCGCCTCCCGGAGAGTACGCGGCAGTACATCGTGCGGAGTGCGACAAGATGCTTGCAGACGGGGTGATCGAGCTTTCTTGCTCACCATGGCTCTCTCCCGTTGTGCTAGTGAAAAAGAAGGATGGTTCGACACGCTTTTGCGTTGACTACCGTGCTTTGAACGCGAAAACAGTTTCAGATGCGTATCCCATACCCAGGATGGACGCTGCCATTGATCAGCTGGCGGGTAAGTCTTGGTTTAGTGTCCTCGACGCTAAAAGCGCATACTGGACTGTTGAGGTCGATGAGAGGGACCGAGAAAAGACAGCTTTCTCGGACGGCGCCCGTCTGTTTCAGTTTTCGCGTATGCCCTTTGGATTGACGACGGCCCCGTCAACTTTTCAGAGGGCTATCGCGCCGTTCTCAACCCGGTGTTGGGCCACCACGCGCTGGCATATCTTGACGATGTCGTCATATACAGTGCAGGGTTTGAGCAGCACCTATCTCACCTCGATGCCGTGTTGCAGTTGCTCGCTGGAGCAGGGTTCAGGCTTAACCTTTCTAAGTGTCGCTTCGCGACCGACACGTTTCGTTTTCTTGGCCATTTGATTACGCCGGACGGTGTTTTGCCTGACCCTGACAAGGTTACAGTGATACGAGCCATAAAGACACCACGCAACCAACGGCACGTTCGCCAGTTCTTGGGGGCAACTGGTTTTTTTCGCAGGCACGTGCCCAATTACGCAAGGGTCGCATCTCCTTTGACTCGGCTCCTGAAAAAAGATACAAAATTTTCATGGGGCAAACCTCAGCAGGAGGCTTTTGAACGGCTTAAGCAGGCGCTTGCCACCGCGCCTTGCTTGATCCAACCAAATTTTGAGAAGCCCTTTGAGCTTCACACCGATGCTTCGGGCACGGCGATCGGTGCTTGCCTTATGCAGTTGGATAAGGTTGGGAACTCCACCCTGTTGCATATTTTTCTCGGAAGCTTAGGGATGCCGAGACCAGGTACCCGACCATCGATCTGGAAGCCCTTGCAGTTGTCGAGAGCACTAGGCATTATCACCCTTACCTTTATGGGAGAAGATTCCGTATCTTTACAGATCACAGGCCGTTGGTATCAGTCTTCCGCAAACCAACTGCCTCGGTAAGGATGACGCGATGGGCTCACGAACTGACATTTTACGACTTTGAGCTTCTTTATAAGCCGGGACGGGTCCACCACGTCCCTGACTTGCTCAGTCGTCAGATCGCAGCCATTGCTGATCTCGATAGCCCCTTGCTGCAACCAGACTTGGTGGAGCGTCATCAGAGAGATGATCCCCTCTGGCAACAGCTCATAGAGTATCTGGAGGAAGGCCGCCTTCCGCCGAGGCGTATCCCTCTTCCCCTAGACCAATTCGAACTTCGGGACCGAGTCTTATATCATGTCAAGTCCAATAATGAACGAGCTCTGCTTCAGCTCGTAATCCCAAGGTCGCTGCGCGGCGCCGCTTTGGATGCGGTCCATGCCGTACCGTCCGCCGGACATCAGGGCGTTCACAGGACGTATCAGCGGCTAAGGGATCATTTTTACTTTCCCGGGATGTTGGCCGCATCCCGGAAATATGTCGCATCATGCACGGCATGTCAACGGAGGAAAGGGGCGATCGCCCGAACTCCCCTAGTCCCGGACGGAGCGGGTCTCCGTGGATATCCTCACTCTTACCCCTTCGGCACGTGGAAACAAGTACGTCCTTGTGCTGATTGACCATCTTACCCGGTTTGTCGAGCTGTTCCCGTTGGCAACGAAGGACGCCCAAACCGTAGCAGACGTGTTTCTTGCGGAATTCGTTACTCGGTACGGTCCCCCGCGGACCCTGTTATCAGATAACGGCCTTGAATTCCGCAATCGTCTCCTTTCCGACATCTGTCATCACCTCCAGGTGAAGTCGCTCTTCACCACAGTCTACCATCCGCAAGCCAACGGTATGGTGGAGAGGGTGAATCGGGTGGTCAAGGACGCCCTGAGCACGCTCCAAATGGATGATCCTGATTGTTGGGACGATCTATTACCGTATGTGAGGTTTGCCATCAATTCCTCCATACACCGGAGCGTAAACGACGTCCCTTTGTACCTTCTCACAGGTCGGGACAGTCATTTTCCGCTCGTGGGATCAAACCACGTAATCTATGCCGAAGGGGCCTTGCCCTCATTAAGATCAAAACTCCGAGCAGCTCGGGTGGCCGCTGGTGAGGCCGCCCGAAAGGCTCGTGAGCGTTGGACCGCCGATCACGATCGAAGGCGGCGGGCTCGACCGCGGGAGTATAACGAAGGGGATCTGGTCTTTGTGCATCGCAGCGTTATCCTGCACCCCAGTCACGGAACCAGACCCCTGGGTCCCCGATGGTTAGGGCCAGTCCGGGTCTTGAAAAAGCTCGGGCCCGTGGCTTATGTGGTGAGGAGACCGAATTCAGATGGGCAGGAAGTCACTTTGCACCCAAATAAATTTAAGGCATTTCGGGTCACTGCGGAATTCGTCCCTCCGGACGACTTTCCCCGTTTGGACGGCACAGCCCCTCCAGACCCGGAATCGGACATGGGACCTTTACAAGATCCCGGTGCTGATGACCTCTTGGATTCGGAATCCTCGGCCCCGTCATCGGAGGGGGTAGACGATGAACCATGGGACCCTGGGTCTGACTGGGACGAGTAGGGAGCAAGACACTTTTCCTTTTCTTCCGCTTACCATTATCTTTCTTTTTTCAGAGCCCCAGCGGGATGCATGCTGCCCTCTGTTGATTACCAGTCCGTCCTGTAACATAACCCTGTATGACTTGGGTCCTAACACGCTTGCAGCCTGTTCTTTTTCAGAGCCTTCCCTTCATCCAGCCCGTGGAGTGGGGAATACCCTTGACGGTAGTCAACCCGACACATTACTAATCCCATCTTCCCCCTTCTAATGTTCAGTCGCCCTGTTTCTTCTACTTATTTTGTTCTGAACTATTTCTACTTTTCAGATCATCTCCAGATGGACGGCAGCAGGGCCCAGCAGCCAGCTTCTGTCCTGCGGAATGATCCTGTCCTTTCGTATTCACAACCGCCCTTGATATACGCGGGTTTTCTCGCCTTCTGCCTTCGTTTCTGGCAGGGTCGCGCTTTCGTCCTGGACGTCTGCAGAAACCCTGTACAGCTATTATTTCTTCTGAGTTTGGCCAAGCTATGGCTTGTTTTCACACCCCGATCGACAGTGACCCGGAGCTGAGGTCGGTCTACGCTCTTTCCCCATGACGGGAACGTAGAGGTGGTTCTCTGTAAAGACCTGTAGGAATTTAACTTTTCTACGGAGTATTCCTGTAAATAGCTCCCTTTCCTATCGTCCTCTTAATCTTCTCTGCCTTTCCTATGTAGTTTAGCGTAACACCAGGTTTGGGTTATTTTAGTACTTTGTATTTTTTTCTGTTATTATTATGTAAACCTTTGTATGTTTGTGCCGAAAGATTTTGAGTTTCACCCTCTTAATCATGTGTTTCCCTCTTCGTTTTGTTCTTTTAATTTGCATGTTGTGCATATGTTCTTAACTTTAAGTGTTTTTTTTTTCTTAGTTTTATGATAATTTTAAGATGTCTGTTTGTTTCTTAAATACTATTTTACCGTCGAGGTTCCTCTCCCAGCTTCTCAGAGCAATGTCCATGCAGAGCTATGTCAGGACCGAGCCCATGACTTCCAAGGAGGTCTCTTATTGGGGTAAGCTCTGTTGACACCCTTTACAGATCGCCTGAGAAAGCGGTGATTGTACATATTGAGAGATTGCCTCCCTCGACGCCAACTAATCAATTAATTTTAAGTCAGATCCTCCACCGGATCCGATCGGCGCAGCCAGATGGTCGGCTTCGCATTATAACATTTATGGTTGTGTGTTACTTATGCACTTCATAATGCAGTGTGTGTTAGAACACGCCAGGCCCAAAGAATAAACCCAGTATGTCTAATACACTCTTGTGTCCGCAGACACGGACGACGACGCATCGAGGGCTCCAAAGGGTTCCACCCCTTTGGTCTAAGGCGATTTGTTCGCCAGCTCTTTACACAGATGATGGTACCATGCTGATAACGGCTCCAGCGCACTGGCGTGCGGGCGCGCTCATGCGCACCCGCGCACTGGCGTGCGGGCGCGATGCGCACCGCCTTCTCCGGCGTGCGGGCGCGTGCGCACCCGCCTTCCGATCCTCCGCACTGGCGTGCGGCGCGTGCGCACCCGCGCACATGCGCACCGTCCGCACCGGGCGACAACTGGCGTGCGGGCGCGCTCCACATGCGCACCCGCCTTCTGATGTTCCGCACTGGCGTGCGGGCGCGTCCTCTGACGCACTTCCCGCTGGCGTGCGGGCGCGTGCGCACCCGCCTTCTGATGTTCCGGCGTGCGGGCGCGTCCTCTGACGCACCCGCCTTCCGATGATCCGCACTGGCGTGCGGGCGCGTCCTCTGACGCACCCGCCTTCCGATGGACCGCACTGGCGTGCGGGCGCGCTCCCCATGCGCACCCGCCTTCCGATGGACCGCACTGGCGTGCGGGTGTACTTTGTACGACCGCCTCTCCGATGTCCCCGTGACGAGCGGGCGCGCTCCCCATGCGCACCCGCCTTAGGATGGATCCTGCCGAGATGATGGACCCTGAGATGTTCGCCGACGTGATGGTCTTCGCCCTCTACACTTCGTCAGAGCCGACCGTTGCTCTGGTTCTGAAACCCTTCGGGCGCCTTTCCTTCTGTCTCACGATCGTACCTCACGAGAGATGGAACGAGTACCTCGCAGACACACCTGTTGTTTAAGGAGTCTCTCCTGCGATACTCGTCTTACCCGTCCCCTACTTAGGCGACGCACTGCCCGGGGGAGGTGTTGTAGTGTACGGCTGCGTACGTCCCGACTCGAAGGATGATATCATCTCCAGTTGCAGTCGCCAAGCTAAAACATCTATTTATTTATTTATTTTTAACCGAATTATTGTATATATGTTATGGCCGAAAAGCACAGTTTATCATCGGATTTTCTCCGTATCCTTTCCTGTATTTATTTTTTTCTAATGTTCTTTCCTTTTGTCGACGTCTCCTT